GGTGTGCCATTCTAAACCTCTGGGGCTGAGAGAGTGTGACTTGCCCAAGGTCATAGAATCATAGAATCACAGAGTTGGAAGAGACCTCAAAGGCCATCCAGTTCAGCCCCCATGCAGGAATACAGAATCAAAACTGCCCCAACAGATAGCTAGATTTTTAAAAAAAATCTTATGAAAACTGCTTACTGTTCCACAGATTTAATGGAATAGGAAAAAAAGATAGCCATTGTACTCTGAGAACTTGAGGTTACAGAGTGGTCATAGAAAATACATGTGATTGTGGATGGCTTCTCTGAACATCCAAAAATGAGTATTAATGATGACCACCAATACATCATTTTCTGTAGCAATTTCATCACATCAGAGACAACCTGGCGGGCTGAGTAAGTACTGAGAAGCACATTGCACTTATTGAAATGAAAAAATAACATTTTGGTTTCAATCAGCAGGCATCAATGCTGATTTTTTCCCCCTTTGCTCACCTTAGTGAATGATGCCCTGAAGTATAATCCAGTTTCCCATATTTCTGAGTATAATAGCCTTGCTTTTCCATGAGGTCCATCCATGTTGTGTAATTTGGATCTAAGCCCTTGAAATTATTCCAAGATTCAGTTAGGTGAGTGAAAAGGCCGCTCCACATAGCTAAAAAACATCAAAATAATGCACAGATAATCACAAATTTATGCAGTGTGTTTTGGACCAGAGACGCAAGAGCAGAAGTAGGTTTCTATTAGGGAATCTTTATTTGGAGTACAGAAGGAAAACGGAGAACAGAAAATATCACATCCAGCATGTGCATGTTTGATAACCTACCACTAGATCATCAGAGCAAAGCAGCAGGAGTGGTGGGTCAGACCGGGGAGGACAAATGCTGGTCCAGGTACCCTTTCCCCCTCCTAACCACTTATCAAGACAATCTATCCTGATCATCTGTTCATTGGGGAGATATGGAAAACAAGCACAGCTGCCTGTTTAGATCACTTCATTAATGCTTGCTTGCTTATAAAAGAGTTTCTAATCTACTCCATTTGTCCATTTTTAGAAAACACCCAAGGGGACTATAATCGAGAAAAACAATGTAAAAAAAAATAGCTCAAAGAAAGCCAGAATAGATATTCCAGCAGGTAAAATCGACCATATAATCAGAGAAAATAGACAGAAATGGTGCTGGAATAAAATCTCTGAAGGATGTACCAAAATTATAATAAAGAAGAAGAAAACATGGATGTATCTGTCACAGCAGTGGATTCTGTAGCATAATCTCTCATGACTAAGTGTGCAGGAGTGTGGGTCATGGAACAAAGTTTTATCTAGAAGAGGAGCAGTTTTATAGACTGCCAGAAATAGTGCACATTAAATTGAGGCACTGCCCTGGCTCAGGGCTAAGGAATCATGGGAACTGTAATTTATTGTGGCACCAGAGCTCTCTGACAGAGAAGGCTCAATGTCTCTGAAAAAAAATACAATTCCCATGATTCCCTAGCACTGAGCCAGGGTAGTGCCTCAATTTAATGTGCACTATTTCTGGCAGTCTGCAAAGGCCCTGAGTAGCCCAAATCTTGTCATACCTAGACTCAATTAGCCAACTCTGAACTCATACTCAGTGAACCAAACTTCTGACCATGAGCCACTCTATAATAAAAAAGCAGACTATTGCACACTCCCTAAGTCCCAGAAGTGTCAACTTTCATATAATTTATGTGCATATGCATGCATGCTATGATTGTACTTTTTAAAAAAATATTTGGAGTAATCCAAATTGAAGATTTGGCTGCTATAAACTATTATTTAAATGGCTCTACTCAGGTATTTATTACTCAAGTATAAACTTACCTGCACGGGAAGGGCAACATATTGGAGAATTGGTGTAGGCATTAAGGAAAACACTGCCATGTCTTCTCATGAGACTTACAAAAGGCAAGGCTACTGTTTCATTTTCTGGATGAAATGTTAGCCTTCCATCCTGTATATATAAGAAAAGAATATTATGACAATTGTTCTGAAGACTGATCTATGCAAAATCAGACACTGTAAATCTTCTGTCAAAATACCAATTTCAGACATCCTAGATTCATGTGATATATATTTTGTTTGCAGGTAATGCATTTGTTGAAAACGGGTATTTCTATGGAACAACACTGTTAATCTATCTACCTACCTATTTCAAGTGTGTGTGTGTATAATACAGTTGTCCCTCTGTTTTTGTGGACTTCAAGTCTGCGACCCTTGCTTATCCGCGAGGGACGAATGGAGGGGCACAATAGGGTGAGTGCCTGTGGCACGCACTTGCTCGCCCCCTGCGGACACGCGCCTCCATTCAAGCCACTAGGGCTTGAATATTTGCGTTTTTCCTTTTTCATGGAGAGTCCTGAACAGATCCCCCATGAAAATGGAGGGGCACTGTACATATACACACACAGAGAAACAGTATACATATTTTATTGAGCAGAATTTCAGTTTTTAAACAGATTTTTTCCAGATAAATTTTGTTCAGAATGCTATAGATCTGTGGTGGCGAACCTATGGCATGCGCCATTTTCTCTGGCACGTGGAGGGTAGGGAAGAGGAGGAACAGCACACCTGTCCCAACTGTCCCAGGCCTTGCAGCTGAAGGCCCAGGAGGGTGGGG